AGAAGCCAACAGTGGACAGTTTGCTTGTGTGTCTTGACTTGGATCCTCCTCTCTCCATCCCTACAAGACTAGCTAATCAAAATATTTTTAGCTTCCTCCCTGAGAATACTGTACCTGTATTCACCCTTGGCCTCCCAGTCTGAACATATCCTCTACCTGGTGCTAATATAAAGATAGTTAACTTTTTGTACGTAGCACTTTTCAGAGTGTTTTCATCATGATTATCTCAGTTGATCCTCTCAACAGTCCAGTAAAGTATCTTCATTTTACACATGAAAAAAACGAAGTCTGCAGAGTTGGAGAGACTCGCTCCAGACCGCATAGTTTAGTAAGACAACCTGACTCACACACATACAGTGGTGTTGATGTTAGATTTTGTGTTGTTCTAAACTGCCTGAGTGCAGTTCTATTTCAAATAATATAAAATAAAATACTGTCTGGTTTTTTGGGGGGAGAAATTCACATAGCATAAACCATTTCAAAGTGAACAATTCAGTAGCATGTAGTACATTCACAATGTTGAGCAATCATTACCTCTATCAAGTTTCAAAACATTTTTATCACTCTAAAAGAAAACCTGGTACCCATTAAGCAGTTGCTTCCCATCTTCCTTTCCCCCAACCCCTGGTAACCGCCAATTTGCGTTCGGTCTCTATGGATTTACCTATTCTGAATATTTCTCATAAATGTGATCTTTGTGTCTGGCTTCTTTCACTTAGCATGTTTTCAAGGTTCATCCACAATGTAGCATGTATCAGTACTTCCTTCTTCTTTATACCTGAATAATATTCCGTTGTATGGAGACACTGCATTTTATTTAACCACTTATCTGTTGGTGGACATTTGGGTTGTTTCCACCTTTTGGCTATTGTGAATAGTGCTACTGTGAACATGCACGTCCATGTTTCTATTTTGTCACACAGCACTTCTGTTCCTAGGTATTTACGTAAGGAAACCATATATCCATGAAAAGACTTGTATAGGAATGTTTATAACTCCTTTATTCATAATAGCCCAAAGTTGGAAGTATTCTGTATCTTCATTGGGATCTTGATTATATGGGTGTATATATATATACACATGGATATATACACACACACACATACTCATAGAATTGAAACCAAAGATCTATTTAGTTTCACTACATGTAAATTTAACCTTATTTTAAAAGAGTGAAGAAGAAGAGAATAGAGCAAACTAGGAACCTTAATTAAAAAAAAAATTCTGGTTGCTGTGTTGTCTTAGTCTGTTCAGGCTGCTATAACAAAATACCATAGACCAGGTAGTGTATAAACAACAGAAACTTATTTCTCATAGCTCTGGAGGCTGGAAATCCAAGATCAAGGTGCCAGCATTGTTGCGTTTTGGTGAGGGCCCTCTTTCCTGGTTCATAGCAGGTACCTTTTTGCTGTGTCCTCACATGGTAGAAGGGGTGAGGGAGCTCTGTGGAGTCTCCCTCGTGTGGCTCTACCCTTATGACCTAATCACCACCCAAGGGCTCCACCTACTAATACTGTTACCTTTATGGGTTAGGATTTCAACATATGAATATTTGGGGAACACAAACATTCAAAATAGCATATATTAAACAAACTTGGGGGGACAAGGGTGGAAGCAGATCACTTAGCAGTAACCTAGGTAAGAGATGATGGTGGCTTGGTTCAAGATGGTACTGGTGGAGGTGGTAAGAAGTGGTCAGATTCTGGATATATTTTGAAGGTGGAGCCAATTTGGTCTGCTAATGGATATGATGGTGGATGTGAGGGAAAGTAAGTTAAGAATGATGGTAAGGCTTTTTTTTGTTTGTTTTTTTAAGGTTTTTTTTTTTTGAGAAAGATTAGCCCTGAGTTGATATCCGTGCCCATCTTCCTCTACCTTATATGTGGGACGCCTGCCACAGCATGGCTTGATAAGCAGTCTGTGGGTCCACGCCCGGGATCTGAACCGCCGAACCCCAGGCCACCAAAGCAGTGTGTGTGAACTTAACCACTACGCCACTGGGCAGGCCCTGATGGTTAGGTTTTTGATGGGATGTAGTGGCCATATGCAGAGCTGAGAAAGACTGTGTGAGGAGCAGGTTTGTAGGGAAGATCAGGAATTTGGTTTGGGATATGTAGAGATATCTGTTTGACATCTAAGGGAAGTCATCGAGTAGGTAGTTTTGATATAGGAGACTGGAGTTCAGGGATCTGATCCAGACTGGAAATATAAAATTTGGAGTCGTCAGCACAGATAGTAATTAAAGTCCTGAGATTGAATGACTTTCCCAAGGGAGTGAATGTAGGCAATGAGGCCTGAGAACTGAACCCTGGGGCTAACTTTTAGGGTTAGGGAGACAAGAAGAATCCAGGAAAGGGGAGTGAGAAGACCTGGCAAGTAGGGTAGAAGGAAAACCAGAAGAGTATGCTGTCTTGAAAGTCAAATGTAGAAAGTGTTCCGTGGAAGAGGGATTGATCATCTAGGTCAAGTAATATGAAGACCAAGAATTAACCATTAAAATTAGCCACATAAAGATTGTTGATGACCTTGATGAGAAGTTTCTGCAGCATATTGAGGATGAGCACCTGGGCTCAGGAGAAGATGGGAGGGAGGTGATTGGAGGTAATGAGTGTAATGGGAAAAATTACAGCCTGTTTGTATGTTTATAGAAATGATCCACAGGAAAGGGAAAGTGTGATGAAGCGGGAGAGAGAGGAGCTGGAGAGAGAGGAGCTGGAGCTAGGGCTGCAGCTTTGAGTTGGTAAGAGAGTGGAAGAGATCCTAAGGCAGAAGTGAAGAAACTGCCAATTAATCCAGACCAACAGCAGGGAAAGGAGAGGATATGGGTACACCGCAAGTCAGTGGGTAGATGATGAGGTAGGATCTTATGGGTCTGTTGGTTTCTATATGCTGAGTGAAATAGGAAGCAACAGCTATCAGGTGAGAGTGAGGATTGGGGGAGAAAGGGTGCTAAATAAGTATCTGGGAGAGTGGAATTAATGGATTAAGGAAATGTAGATTGATTAGATGGGAGCCGTAAGGGCCCATTTGAGACTAGTGGTGGAGGTTTTCCTCCTACCATGTTAAACTGTTCTTGGGCTGGCATGAAGTAAGCAGAAAGTTGGGTATAAGAGTGTTGGGGTTTTGTTATCATGAGACGAGAAAGGGGCAAGGGTGTGTGCAAAGGGAGTGATTATAATGATGGACTATTATCTAAGCCGGGATGTGAGGATGAGAATGGGGTAGGGATAAAGAAAAGGTGATAGGATCAGTGATTTGGAGGACCCATTAGGGTTGAGGAATTGTTGGAGTTAGCATCTCCAGGAAGTAAGCAACAGTCAGGATGTGGTGCGGGGAGATTAGCGTGCTTGAAATTGAGATGATTGGAAAGCTTGCAGTTGTTGGTGATGACAGAGCTTAGGGTATGATCAATTAACTCAGTAGCTTATTTCAGTCCTTTGCATATTTCCTGTTTTTAATAGGAAGAATGCAGTAAAACATTTTTTACATAGTAACTTCATTTTTGCATATTAACTTCATTCTGGCTAATTTCTTATTTGTTTAATTTGTCCCATATTAATTGGTACAAGCCTTAAGGGCTTTAATGATTGCCTAACTCATTTTCTTTTTTCCTCTGTTGATAAATCGAACACCTGCCATTTTGTATGTGAAAACTGAAATAGAAAAATTTAGTCTAATTTTAGCATGAACTATGCACAGAAATAGCCATGTCCTCCTTAGTTAATAGTATTGAAGTTTCAAGATGAAAATTGAATTTTTTCACCGAATTTAAACTGGTTAATATAAAATCAGTGGTAAAAATATGATACAGTAGCTGTCTGGTAGGCAGAATCACAATCCCCCCATGCTGTCACATTCTAATCCCCAGAAACTGTAAGTATATTACCTGACATTGCAGAAGGGACTTTGCAGATGTGATTAAGGATTTGGAGATAGAATGATTATCCTGTATTATCTACGTGGGCCCAGTATAATCACAAGGGAGCCTGATAAGTGAAAGAGGGAGACTGGAGAGTCAGAGAGAGATTTGCAGATGTTACCCTGTCCCTCATGCTAGCTTTGAAGATAGAGAAAGAGGCCACGAGCTCATGCAGTCTCTAGAAGCTGGAAAAGGCAAGAGATTCTCCCCTAGAGCCTCCAGAAGGAAGAGTTGGCCTTGAACTTAACAAATAGGACTCCAGAGCGTGTAAGACAGACTAACTTGCAGGCCAGCTGACCTTGATCATAGCCTGCTGGAGTGCATTGCATCTAATTAAGAAGTAGGAATGTCAGGAAGGGAGTTGGTTAGTCAAGTAATCAAGACAGTTTTTAATAATGTTTGTCCAAGTACCAAGCAGAGTACCCTGTTTAGCAGTACTCTGTTGTACGAGAGTAATTACACTGTTGTAGAGAATAATATATGAGACTGTTTACCCTGGTGGTGTTTAATATATGTTAAATAACTGATTCTTTTGCGTTGATTTCTATGCTCACTAAACAAACGTTTGATTATAATTTGGCTTCCTGTGTGGTTGCCTACATGGAAAGAATTCATCGAGCAGATGATTTCAGTTACCTGGTTCCTTTTGATTGTATATCAGTTTTCAACATGGTTTCTCTGTGGACAGGGGTGGGTGGGTGGGAATACATTGGCCACAGGACTCTAATTTCTGTTGGTCCCTTGGCTGTTATAATTTTCCCTTAACATAGTTGAATTGGCGTTCTGGTTTTAGTTAGTCCATTGAAAGTCAGTCCATCTCTGGGAAATGGCTCTATTGAATACACTTAATAGATCATTTTGCTGACCCTGTGAGGATTAGTCTTCAGATCTTGGAAAATTCAACAAGTTAATGTAATCCCAGAAGGCCTCTTGTGAGACAAGATGTTTTCCCCCGGTGACATAGTCCTGCTTCTGCGAAGCTGAGAAATAAATATGAGTGAGCTTTTCTTAAGTTTGCCAAAAAAAATGGTAAACACGTTAGTTTTTAGAATTAAAAAAATTTCAACACTGAGAACAAAAATAATGTGGAATATAGCATAATTAAGTGTAAAGTTTTGCACTGTGTCATTTTTTTAAAGTGCCACAGTATAGGTTATAGAAGACGGAGAGATTTATAGTTTCTAGCAAGTTTATTGAAAGTCCAGAGAAGGATAGTACCAGAGAAGCAACATAGTGTTAGATGGCATTGAGAGAAGTGTAGTATTAAGAACATGGGAGATAGTTAGTTCTGCTGTACTGGTACTACACATTTTAAGAGGGTGTGGCATTTTATGAGGGGCATTGGTAAACTGAAGAGTAATCAAGGTGGTAAATTAACGTAGATGTGAAGTCCTGTCTGTAGAACAGTAGACAGAAATGGGAATATTTAACCTGGAGAGGAATTCGGGATTGAGGAGGGAAACACAACAATTTTTTGCACATAGAGAATTTGTAGTGCAGTTAAGGTACGGATTTTTCCAGTTAGATCTAGACGTTAGAACTAGTGCCAGTAGATAGACATTACTGAAAAACAAGATTTTGACGCCATACACCCATAGCAAGTATTGGATCACCTATACATCTCCCTGTCCTTTCCCCCTCCCTTCCTTCCAAGGGAATCTTGATTCTGTTTAAGTAATCTCCCCACTCTGCACAACTTTGTCTTTCAAGAGAGGCAGATCCCAGCTCCAGGGGGGCAAATCGTGATCAATCTCAGCCAATCATGACGAACCATTTTCCTTGCCAGTGATTGGCCAGATGTAGTTCTGGCCAGTAAGATGTGTGCTAGGGGTCTGCAGACGCAGATATTCCTCTCTGATAAAAAGATTCAGAAGGGAAGAAATAATCTTACAGTGGACATTGTTACGTCTGCATATGAAGCCTGGAATGATGGGAGCTGTCTTGAAGCCATAAGAATTGCTAAATCAACATGCTAATATATCCTGATACTGTTGATTTTTCCTCAGTTGTGTAGGACCAAAATGGTTCCCAACAGAGCTGTTCTGAAATGGAAAAGATTACTTTCCGAGGAAGCAGTCTTTTTGTCCTTGGAGATATTTAAGCAAAAGTTGAATAAACACTTGATAGACTTGGGATTCCAGCACTGGTGAAAGTTTGGACTTACATGACCTTAGATCTTTTCTAACTAAATGATTCAGGCGTTATACCATTCTAAAAACAAAACAATGAAGCAATCCACAGTTGAGACAGAAAAATGCTGGGATCTGCTTAGCTTCTCCATTTTGTGCCCTCTTAGTTCTAGGGTCTCTACTTCTTTGAAGGATGAATGTGGAGCATGGTTTCTAATCATCTTAGGTAGCCCATTTTCCTTTCTTTGAATATGTTGTCTGCTGCTTTATAGTTTCCAGGGGGAAGGAGGTAGGACGTAATTCTATTTGAGTGTAAAAGACCTTTTCTGCTGTTTAGATGCACTGATTTAGGGAGAGAAGTATCTTCAGAGTAGACGTCAGAAGGTTTGTCTTACTGTAGCAATTTAAATCTTAGTCTTTTTCTCTTAGTTTTTTCCTTTTGGAATATGTACCCATTAATCCATCTTATTAGAAGAGGATGTTGTTAGGGACACAATGACATGAAAATGCTTTGGGAAATAATAGTAGTGGTAGGCATTTATTAGAAATGTTTTGTGCTATTTGAATTCATAAGTTGGGAGTGCATTCTTTATTATATTGAGATCAAACAAGTAGTTCATTATTAAATCGATGTGTCTCTGCCCTTTGAATTCAAGATGGTAGTGAGAAGCTAAGTAATCTAAAAAACAAAAATGAAGTACAAATGAATCTCCCTTTATTCATTGTGGACATTATCAGAAACGTCAGATTTAAGTCGTTCTCAATGTTTAATTGGAGTGTCTTATTTTATATGAGAAATAAAGGCAAAAAAGCTTTGAATTTAGGTTTCCTTTCCTAACATGACCCAAAGGTGGTATAGAAAGAGAGACTGTCCACATAGTCTTGTGAAGCTTCTTTTTGAACTTAGTTTTTCTTTTCTCATATAAGGCGTATTTGGCTTAAGCTATCAGGAAAATAAGTTAACATACATGTGAAAATAAGTCTTCTCTTAACACGTTACCACATTTCAGAAGTTGAAAGATGAACTCAAAAGGGACAAATTTGTCTTCTGGAATAGTGACGCAACTGGTAGTTTTGCGAGGTTCCCTTTTTTCCTTCGCATTTTAGATTTCTATTTTAACTCTCCCCAGACCTGTCCCATCCCAGAATTCTCCATCTCCTTGCCTAACAGGATTTTTTTTTAAAACCATGCTAACCCTGAGCAGTTGGTCAATGGGGAAAATTTGTCTTTGGCCTTTCCTGTCCCTCTTTATGTTACATGTTTCACATATAATTTATAGGGTTCTTCTTACTCTTAGGCAGCCATATTGATCTTTCATGGGTAGTGATAGACTCCAGATCTTTTTCATTATGCCCCTTCACCAAAATGTATCAATTCTGTATGTTTCCTGCCTAGTAATAAGCTCCCACCTGTTCTGTAGTGATCAATCTCATATTCAGCCACAGAATTGTGTTAATAGATGTCAATGTGTTACCTTCTCTCCCCTTTATTTAAAAAGTAAACAAACATGGGAATGCTTGAAGACCTAGTTTGGCCTTGCTATGCCCTGTTAAGTGTACCCTGGGTGCCAGTGGCCTCTGTGAGTGCTTGCTGTACGTAGAGGTGGGGGATTCATTCTGCCTTTCCCCACTTGCAGCTTGGAGCACTAGTAGCTGTCTTGCCTTGGGTCTTCAGCTCAATACTCAGGGCCAGTTTCATGGGCAGACAACCTGTGCAATTGTACAGGGCCCCATGCTTGGTTTAACCTTTTCCTGTTGCCATCTTGAAATTCTTAATTTTTTTTTTTGCAAAGGCTCTGCATTTTTGTTATGCACTAGGCCCTGGAAATTATGTAGCTGTCCTATTGATAAACTCCAATTCAGTGTCCACTATTTTTCCTCCATTTGCTGCCAGCTTTCGCACAGGGCTTCCTGTGCTGCCTCAGAGCTCGCCATCTTCTGCTCTCCCCACTTTTTTAACCCACCCCACCACTCCCTGTCATGTTTTTAACTCTCTTTTCTAACTCCTAACTTATATTTATCTCAGTCAACCCTAAAGTGCTCTTGTACTCACAGGGTTTGTCTTTTATAATTGTTTGATCAGTTTGCTGATCAATTTTAGTACTTTCTTGAGCTTTGACAAAGACTTGATTCGAATTCTGTTGAGGAACCCCTGTAGTAAGTTTCTTCAGCTTCTGCCTCTGACTTCTATACTTCAAAAAAGATACAAAATATGTGCTTGTTTCTGGTTAGTTACGTTCTGTGTTTAATTGAGGTGTAACTGCCTTGGCATTGAGTTGGTCCCGGATATGAGTGTGTTATTGATGATCTCAGGAGTCTATGAGATTAGGGTAGAAACTTAGCTGTAGCAGTATCCAGCTTTGCTATTTTGCAGATAGAGTAAAATAAATGAGCTACACTTTAGATAATAAAATAGTATTAAAGTTTTTTTTTTCTTCCTTGAATGATTACAATATAGAATATAGTTTCAGACATAAATGTCAGGAAATTAGAATCATTCTGGTAGGGGAGATAGAAAATAAATACGGAAAAATAGAATGTAGTGCTAGCACTAAATTGTGGTAGGAAGAAAACTGCGGGATGAGGAAGGGGCCCTGGATTGACTGGGATGGGATGGGTGGGAAGGGCTATTTTATTTTAGACAGATTGGCCATGGTGGCCTCCTGAGGAGTTAGCATTTGAGTAGGAACCTTACTGAGATGAAGCAGGAGGGCCATGACAGTTATGAAAGAAGAGTGGCCCCAGAGGAGAAAACACAAATTCAGATAGTCTTAGGTAGCACGTGTGGAGCATAGTCCAGGAAGTGCAGTGTATTTATTTCCTAATAATGTCTGCCAGTAAACAGAAGGGAGATCTTTTTGTGGGGCAGGGGGGACACATTGAATTTCTTCAGGAGATTCAGTCTCTAAACATGTAAAATATGGAGGAGATATATTTTTTGATGGTCACGTATCTTATCTGTGTACTTGAATTTTTTTTCCCAAAGATTTTGTTTTTTTCCTTTTTCTCCCCAAAGCCCCCCGGTACAAAGTTGTATATTCTTATTTGTGAGTCCTTCTAGTTGTGGCATCTGGGACGCCACCTCAGCATGGCTTGATGAGCGGTGCCATGTCCGCGCCCAGGGTCCGAACCGGTGAAACCCTGGGCCGCTGCAGCAGAACTCGCAAGCTTAACCATGGCCAAGAGGCCGGGCCCTGTACTTGAATGTTTAATTGATGAGTATTTCTATTCTTAGTTCCAGTTTGTGTTGGTGTCGGTGTTGTTGAGGAAACTTCATCAAGCTTCACACTGTAGCAGATGGGCTTGATGGTGGGGCATGTCTTCATGCAATTTGACTGCTTTAGTTGACCATCCGATATGAAACAGAAAAGCAGATTTCTGGCTTAGAGTATTTGTCAAAATAGAATTCCCTCATAAAAAAATCTTTAGTTCACTTTTAAAAGACAATGACTAGCATTTTTTCTAGGTTAACTTTACAACAAGAGCCTAAGTTCTGCAATCAGAAGGTTCTCGGCAACTTAAAGCAAATTGTCAAGAAAAATATTGTAAATGTTTGTGTGTGGGGCATATACTTTTAAAGTTTAATCACTTAAATTTTACAGTATTAGTGGATTTGTTTATTTCATTACTAGATAAGGAAAATAATTGTGTGTTTATTTTTCCTGCCTAGGTTTTCCCTGGGAAGCTAACATTGTCAACGCTAAAACTTTTGAAGATTATGCCAAGAGGCTATTTGTTTATTTGAGGGAACTGCAGGAGTAGATTGCGGCCGTATCGGGCGTGTTCCTCTAGGATGTTATAGCTGGATGATGTTTGAAGAGTTTTCAAAAAAATTTTATTTGACTTTTCAGTTCTTACTGATACTCTTTCATGCCATTTTTGTTATTTGGAAGTAGTTGGTATCTTTTTTTCCCCTTTGATGAGAACAACAAATCTGACATAACTGTTGAGCTGGGACCTGTCAAGGCGCTCATTAGGACACTCACAGCTGTTGTAAGGTTAGTCTTCCTTTGGGAGCCTCAAGTATTCTGTTTTATTTACATTTTCATCTGGGTCCTCTAAGTCCTGCAGTATTAATATTTTCAGTGTTTAGCTAGCTACATGTCTAATACTGTATAATATAGTCTACTTAAGCTGGGCTGATTAGAAGAAAACATGTATTTGAAAATACAGAAAGAATCATGATAGATTATTAAGGATCTTGAATACTTGCCAACAGATGAGGACTCCTAGCGAGTCAGTTGTGTTGGAAGGATTGTATCATGTGTATGAAAGTACTTTGTAAACTAAATCTTTGTCAAGTGCCAATTGTCTTAAAAATATTTATCATCCTTGTGTACTGTTGGTAGGAATGTAAACTAATACAAACACTATGGAAAATAGTGTGTTCGTTCATCAAAAAAATGAAAAATAGAATTACCATATCATTCAGCACTTCCACTTCTGGGTTTATTCCTCCCAAAATTGAAAGCAGAATCTCAAAGAAATATTTGTACATTCATGTCCATAGCACTGTAATTCAGAACAGCCAAAAGGTGGAAGCAACACAAGTGTCCATTGATGGATAAATGGATAAACAAGATGTGGTATTTACATACAAATGAATATTATTCAGCTTTAAAAAGGAAGGACGCATTTAAAAACAAACAAGCGCACGAACCTGGAGGAACCTGGAGGACGTTTTGCTAAGTGAAAGAAACCAGACACAAAAGGACAAATACTGTATGATTCCGCTTACATGAGATACCTAGAGCAGTCAGATTCACAGAGACAGAAAGGAGAATGATGGCTGCGGGGGGGAGGTGGGGAGGGGAATTGGCAATTATTGTTCAGTGGCTCTGGGGTCTCAGTTTTGTGAGATGAGGGGAACTCTGGAAATGGATGGTGGTGGTGGCGCAACAATTGTGACTGTACTTAATACTACTGATAATTGTTGAAACTGAGTGAGGGTACATGAGGGATCATTGCACTAGTCTATTGACTTTGTATTTATTTGAAATTTTCCATAATAAAACATTTTAAAAAGTGATTACTTGTCATTCAGTTTAGAAGACTGATTTTTTCCATCAGGAGTTTCTAGTGGCTGCTGTAACTCCAAAACGAATGGGCGTTTCCAGTGATAGAGACGGTGTGGCTAGTGAGGAGCAGAACAGACTGAAGCTTTCTGTCTGGAGGAATGATGTTGCTTTTCACAGAAAGGACATCGAAAGGGGCGTAACTTTAGAGAGCAAGAGTGTCGTAGGAAGTTAAGGTACATGAGTCCCTCTCAACCACTTTCCTTTTGTTACAGCAATTTCTGACTTAGACCAGGAAAATACTAAAATTTTTTGCTGTGCATCGGTATTCTTAATTACTGTATACTTCTGATGAGCCCAAATGAGGTTGTGTTTTTGCCTGTGTTCTTGAAAACTACAAAAAAATGACACCGTTATTCAACATGGTAAAGTTAATACTAAAAATCCCATGGCCTGCACTTGATGGAGCATGAATTTATCTTCTCTTCATTAAGACAGGATAGTTCTATTTTCCAACAGGCGCTTTTTTCTATTTCTGTTTCAGTTCAAACACAGGCACCTTTTTTTCCATCATGGTCAGAGTGTGCCCTGCCAGCTGTTAGATGTTTCGGCTATTAGTCTGATCATCTCTTTTAGACAGCGCAGTCTCTTTCTGTTAGCAGAACTAAGGCATCAAAGGCCTATAAACATCCTAATCTGCTACTAGGAAAACTAGGCATGGAAAAGCACAAACATTCTGATTTGTGTACATACTAAACTTCAAAATGTACGGAATCTGGTCTTCAAGCCATTTTAAAACAGAGGATGAAGCAGATGAGAATGTTTTTTATCAGTAACATTTAAATTTTATGAAGTTCTTTGTCTTTGTTATAAAAGACATAATATGGAGGGTATAGTGCAAGAACAATGAAAGTACATTTTTATTTGCTTTGTATAGAAAACATCTAATTAAGCTTAATTGTATATGATGGACTGATTCTGGATACAACTCAGATCATCCTGTAGACATAAAGAAAAGATCCGCCAGGAGCTGCGAACAGCTCATGTTAGAGGAAGTACTTGACTTTTTACAATAAACAAATCTGACATTTCTTTTGAAGTCTGTACCAATAATTCTAATGGAGTGTGGGCAGAGCCCTTAAATGCTGAACCTAGCAAATTTGACATCTTGCCCTACCTGCTAGAATAAGGTGTAAATACTCCGTGCTTACTTTCATTTAATAGAACATAAGTATAGTAATTTCCTGCTGAAATCTATAAATGTGGTGGCCATTGACTTTTAGCATTTGCTAAAATTATCAAAAATGGAAGGAAGAGCATATTCTACAAAGTTTCAAAATGAATAGCCTGTATGTAAACGGAAGCATACATACAATAACTTGCAGGATATAATGGCTAGTTAGTGTGGGATGCCATTGGCTTGTGTTCTTGTAACAGAGTAATCGTACTTTTCAATTAAGTGTGTATTTTAGCTGAATGTCAGCTGTCTGATTGTTATAATTATAGTATGGGAGAACTAGACCACTGCCATACAGCCAGCTACTGTGGTAAGCACAGAGAACGGCAGTGTAATCTGAATGTCGTGTTCACGGACTAATCAAATTATAATAGGGCATTTGTTTAAAGAAATTTCCTGTTTGACTTTATAAATATTTCATTACTACGAGAGAAAATAAGGCAAATTCATAAGTTAAGGCAATTTGAAATGTACATCTAATAGAGAATCTTATTAAATATGGTTGCATTCTTGTACTGTTGTAATTACCTTTTCATCAGTCTGTTTTCTTCCAAGACTAATTTGTCATTGTGCCAGTTTTGAACACCTTCTATACAAAACATTAAGCCAAATACTGAGACACGTGGAAGATACAAAAATCAATGGACAGCTGTGCTTTCAAGCTCAAGATAGAAGTCATTTCAGAAGCTGAATAGTGGGTTGCTGAGAACGAGAAGATGGTGTGCATTAGGAGTCCACGGTGGCCTTTCAGAGAATGGTAGGGGTAGAAGTCACACTGCAAAGAGCTAAGTGTAAGGGTGATAGGTAAACACAGTCCTCCTCGCACTTAGGATCGAGCCCAAAATCCTCCTGGTACCATGTGAGACTGGTTGATCTGGCGACGCCTGTTGGCTCTTCTTCCGTGTACTCCCGCCACATTGCCCTTTTTTCTGATCCTCCAAGTCACCATGTTCTCTCTGGCTGAGGACTTTCACATGTCTAGTTCCTTCTGCCTGGAATGCTCTGTCTCTTATTCTTTGCCTAGTCCTCTCCTGTTCAGGCTTTAGATCTCAGCTTAAATGTCGTTTCTTCCAGGAGACTCCACCACGTCTGCTGTGTCAGACTACACAAGCTGTGCACCCCGCAACACCTAGCCTACAAAGAGGAGCGCACACGCTGAGGTTGTAGAGAATGCAGCCCAATCTAAATTATGTCCCCCTGTTGATGCTCTCTTGTAGCCTCAGATGTTTTTCCTTCGTGACAATTTTGAACATGTGAGCGTATCTGGTTATCTGTGTAATGGAACCATAAGCTCCCTGGGGGAGGGGCCATGTCAGTTTGTATACCCAGGCCCTGGCACGCAGTCAGTTTTCAGGAAGTGTTTTCGAGTGGATGAACAAATGTAGATCACTCTTCAAATTTGGCAGTTTGTCAGTAAAGAAAAAGAGGAAGGACATTAGCTAAAATCAGTGATGCGTTCAAGGAAATGGATCATGGGCTGGTCTCAGCATCAGGAAATCTGAGTGTGTCTGTAGGAAAAGGAAAAGAGGCATTCACAGAGAAACTGAAGATGTGAATGAATGAGGGAATAATTAGTGGAGGAAGGGTCTACAGGAGTATGTGATAGAGAAAGAGCCCTGGAAAGAAGATCCTGTTTACTCTTAGAGAAGAAAGAGAGGGTTTGGAAGTATAATCTGCTAGTGAGGGCTCAAATAAAATGAGATAATGTGAATTAAGCTGCTGCTAAGTGCCACAACACTTTCAGTTATAGTGGCTTAATATCTAAAGAAAAATGCTTATGGAAGAGGTTCAAAATCGTGTACGTACCCGTGGTAACATTCTGTGGCTCCCAGAAATAATGCATTGAAATTCCTGTTTGTCACCTGTAGCGGGGGAGGGCTCCTGGAAGTGCCAGAATCTAGTCACGCTCCTATCGTTCTGCTGAAGAATTGAGGAAATCCATCTCCAGTTAGTGCTGATTTGGGGCAAATGTGAGAAAATTGTAGAGTTAATATCATTTTTTAAATGGACAAATACAGTTTTTAGCACATTTTGCTTTGTTTCCTACCTGGAAGACTCATTTTCTTCAGTGATGTTTTATGGGGAAGCCTGACCAGTTTCATGTTCTGTCTGTAACAGTGGATGTCCCATAAAATGGCGAGATCGTAGTTTTGAAGGAGCTGGGTTTGGCGTATAAGGTCGCTGGGAATTCTGTAGTAACAGCGCAGTTTTACTGCATTGGCGCTGTCTCTCTTGGACAGAGGGTGTGTTAAACAAACGGTGACTAGCCGTGGCACACACCAAGCTATTGGATAGCCCGTTAAGTCCTTAAAAGTAAACTCAAAACCTTGTGACATGCCCCTACTTATAGGAGTCAGGAGTGAAAGTGTGCTTTGTATGCCACAATGTGGTGTGCAGATTTAAAAACAGTGAAAGAAGCAAGTCGTGGCCAAGTTCGAGAAGCACAGTGCCCAGGCCACACTGACATTAACCTCAGTGGTGATGGCCGAGCCCCTCTGTGGTTCTGGCCTCAAACAAATTCTCACATTCACAGGGTGGCTCGTGAGGCCCGATTCAAGGCTATAAGTTCCTTTCTGTTTCGAGATGTCAAGCCATAGTGTTTTGAAATGCTGAAATAGAAAAGCATCCTAGAAAAACATTTTAATTGTAGAATAATTATTTACAGTACAAAAATTATATACTATAGAAATTATAAGGTGACAAATAAAAAGTGCTTTCTGGGATTCTCATGTTTTAACAGTTTTTGGGTAACTTTCCATAATTTTCATTTCCTTCCTTCCTTCCTCATATCTCTTGTACTCCTTTAAGAAAATATTACTTTCAAAACGAGTGACATTATATATCTGTTCAGCAGTGTCATTTATGCAGTTAATAATACACCTAGGACACCTTTCCACAGCTAAATGAAATAGAACGTAATTTTTTTTAACCAGCTTCCTTTTGACAGACATCAGGATTCTTTTCCAGATTTTTTTCTTTCAGTTTTTGCATCTTAATAGTCCTGCTGTAGTATTGTTGTTATAAATAGTCTCCCTGTGCAAACATTTTTGCTTCCATGTGAGAAGAAATCTGACAGACGTAGTCCTGGAAGTCAGATTTCTGGGTCAAAAGCACGTGTGTTTTTAAATTTGGATAGATATTGCCATGGTTCTTCAAAAATTTAGTACCAGCTTACACCTCTCCCAATGGGATATTTCAGTGCCCTGTCCCCCACACTCTTGAAAATGATGATCCATCTGTTAGCATCTCATTTGAATTTGCGTTTCTTAAATTTTGGGTGAGTTTGAAGATATTTACCTGTGCTTACAGGTCGTTGTTGGTGCCCAGTGAGATGGCTGGTAATCCCTACCCATTTCTCAGTGGGCTGTTTGTCGTTTTCTTAGCAGTTTGTGAAAACTCAGTGCATATTAATATTTGCTGCAAATATTTTCCTCACCTTATCGTTTATTTTTTGTTTATAATTGAGTTTTTGTGCCTTTTTAAAAAATCAGTTGTATCCTTTTTGGCTTCTAGATTTTACGTCATGATTAAAGTCCTTCTTGTGCTTCAAAATTTATTTTAAAAAGTTTCAGAGGCCAGCCTTGTGGCACAGCAGTTAAGTTCGCACGTTCTGCTCTGGCGGCCCAGAGTTCGCAGGCTCGGATTCTGGGCGCAGACCTGCACACTCCTCCTCAAGCCATGCTGTGGCGGCGTCCCACGTACGGAATAGAGGAAGACTGGCACAGATGTTAGCTCAGTGACAGTCTTCCTCATACAAAAAAAAAAATTGACCCAGGTTTTCTTCAAATGTTTTTATGGTTTCATGATTTAACTTTAAATGTGGTATATCTGGAATTTATTTTTGCTTAAGGGATGAAGGTAGAGATGCAGCCTTAAGTTTTCCAAATGGCTAACTGTTGTCTCAACACCATTTTTGAGCACTCTCTTTTTTCATAGAATCTTTAAGTTTGAGATTTTATGACTGATAAACGTATCGTGTTTATAATACCATCTAGATAAAACAAGATGGAGTTGAGTTGGGAACGCTGCATGTGTGGTGCTGTAGGGTTCCCATGTAAATTAGGAATGGTACTACGACACAACAGTCCGAGGAATAAACTGCTTCTGAGGAAAACAAAAAGGAATGCTTATGGTTTTTGCTTGGATTATGAGATGAGAGGAACACATGTCAGAAAGGAGGTCTTAGTGTCTGTAAGGACTGGGAGCGGGTTTGCCCCCAGTGTATCGTGAGGCTTAACCCTTTCTGTAAAAGAGTATCAGCCTAAACTAGGGAAACACTTTTCATGAGCATGTATTTTACCCTGAATGTTCTTCAGTAAATAGACACTGTTTTTATAGAAATTTGGTTCTATGGTTTGTTGAAATTTATAACTAACTCACTGGAACTCATTGATCTTATTAAATGGGAGACTTCAGTGTAACGTTCCTGAGGTGACAGATGGAGTTTTCTGGTTCGCAGAACGTCACGCTGCCCTCACGAGCTATAACACGTCTTCCGCGTATTCCAGTCTCCTTCCTTTATCATTAAAGGCCTTCACCAAAGTGGAAGTAGTGACAACTGTGGAATTTGAAGATATTGTCGCAGTATTTGTTGTTGCGTCCTCTGGGTTGGATGGATTGGTTCAGGGAAAACGATAGGACTGTAACTTGTGTAATGAAACATGCTCTGATGGCAGCAAGAAGGGGGAAATGAGCTGTGAATGTAGCATGGGTGAGGAGAACAGTTACTTAAGGGAAAGATCTGAGTTTCGGAGAAGCAAATGAAACCTCTCAGCTACTTTTAGTTTTTGCCAAAGAATGGTAGCGAATGTGAGTCGAGAAGAACTGTGGGCTAGATGATAGGTTCTCCTTGGTGACCCAGGATAAACCTGAGATTTACAGATACGTGGATGTTTAAGGCTTAACGTAGAAAAAATGTAGCTATCAATTAGTTATGTTTTCTCTGAAATTTATTGCAACTGAGAAGAGCAGGGATCTATGACGTATGTGGTAAAGGAGGGAGATTGACTGCTTCCGCGTCAGACCAGCGTACAGTTCTCCTGGATTAAAATTTGACTTTTAGAATCATCTTATGAACATCAGTGGGAAATGAGCTTTCAGAGCTTATTGATTTTGTTTTTAATATTTTCACTTGAGGCAAACCATAACCTAAAACCCAGATATGACTCAACACAGTTCTTTTCTTCTTTCCTCTAAATATTTAAGTGTAAATTACAGTTTATTACTTTAAAGTATGGTTCTGAGACCTATAAACTTCAGAGTCAAGCCATTTAACTTTGTAACATTTGTCTACATGTTAAATTTAGTTGGACTTCACATGAAAAATTATGGAAGATAAGCTAAGTCAGAAATGTGTTTACTATTCTTGACTTAAGGTAAACATAGAGCTTAAATTGAATCAAATGCATCTATTTTCATGTCTTTCGGTACTGTAGCATATTCCCACAAAATTAAAGGATTTTATTGGTATATATAGATCCAGCAGAGAAATGTACAACATTAAACAATAATGTTAGTTATAGACTCTAGTGATAATTTATGAATTCTCTTTAATTTAATGAATGTATATGAATACTTTTAAAAAATTCATAAGATGCTTGTCTTCATTACACTATAGTTAGAGCCCGTTCATTAAGTGTAACTTTGGCAGCATAATTTCTGAATTTTAAATTATGGCTTCAACTGAATGAAGTACTCTTATGTTAAATGATTTTTTTTAAGGTGCCTGGCTGACATAACCTTACAAAATAGTCTAAGGCATTTATATTTGGGATTGAAACTACCAGTGCTCTCCAAATGAAGGAGAATTAATTTTCAGGATTAACGTAGGATTTTGAAACCATAAGCTTCACACTAAAGAGACCAAATGATGACTGGAGGTCACGTGCAGCAGAAGATTTAGGCTTCTCAGGGGATTTTGTTTTCAATCCTGCAGTCTCATACTGTTGTTATATAATATATACTGCCTTCCTCCGTCTCGTGGAGACAGCAATCCTTACTTTCTGTCTCCTGAGCATCATAGCCCAGGCTTGGGACAAAAATTAAGAAGTAGAAGGCTAGGACTCCACTCACTGAGGTTCGGAACCCGTCTTTCATATCAACATTTGACTTCCAGCGCTTAGAAACATTCAGTATTTGTTGGGTGCCTTACTTTGATTGTAGAAGCAGGTCAGTTTTCATGTACTACAAGAATTGCTGTTGGAACTAAAGTTCTAAATACACAAAAATACATTTCTCAAGGCTAGACCATTGTTCTGGATCAGCGTTGCACTTTCCTTCTTGTGGTTATGTGCATACAGAGAGCTAAGTTGCTGTCTAATGTCATTGGCTTCATTAATGATATTGTTATATTTAACTCTGTAAAAAAAATGAACATTTCCTAATCTTAGGAGATGACTGATATACTCCTCTAGCTTTGTAGACCCACCTTGGATTTAAGTTGTCATTGTTATTATTTATACCCAGCAGCTGAGGGGAAAAGAGCTGCCTTCCATTCTAGATAGAGTTGCGATGCTCTGGGTAGCAATGTGTACATTTGCATTTTTCTGTGGTAAAAATGGCTTAAATATTTTATATTTTAGTGTCATGTTAGAGATTTCATTCCATGATCATTTGTTCATTCACATGTATTTTTATTTTTAGCTCTAAGCGAAAGACATGAGGCCTAAGACTGAAATGAGGTTGTTTTGAGGCCATCTGATTTCTGACTAGAAGGTGTGCGATCGCCTCGTCCTGAAACCACTTCAAACAGAATGGTAATGGCAAAACCTAAGTAAAAGAGAGGCCTTCAGGTTTTTCCATGTCTGTTCTCCTACCCCAATTCCTTCTTTTTTAAGATTAAAAAAAAATTTTAAGTTGTGAACAAAAGGTATTACTTGCTGTCATATCCTAACTAAACTGGCTCACATGTTTAAAAAAAGGATTAATTGTATAAGTCCACATATTTCTTAAACCTTTTAGAGTTGTTTAAACCCACTTTTTTTGAAGTGAGGTACTTAACTAGCAGCGAAATATTTATTATATGAAACTACCTGAGCCATTAGGAATTTTCGGATTGAAATAATTTTTTTCCTTTGAAAACTGATAAAATTTGCTCTTAAAAGGGACTCTGGACTTAGTAAGTTTTTCAGACTAGAAAGTAAGAATTCTTGCCGCAACTTTCTTTTTCTGTCATAAAGAATTTTTATGTTTTATATGTGTGTTTTTTTAGTCTTTTAAAATGTGAACTGCCTATTATTAGTTGTCAGTTAATTCTGCTTTAATTATTACATATGTCTTAGTTCAAAATATATTTTATAGTTGAAGGTAATATAGCATTGTTTGTTTTCATTATAGTAAAACTTTTTTGTGGGGGAGGCTTCTGTTTATTAGGTTTATTCCAGTCGGCTCTGTTCCATTAAATATGTTGATATGTTTATGTGTGTTTATAAGTCAATTACTAGGCTTAATTCCCCTGGGGAATAGAATTCCAATAGGTTCTTCGCTCAAGTTCAGATTTTATGCTAAGCCATTTTTTCAGAATAAGTGGTTCTTTATGGTGTTTCATTTCCTGTACTACCTGTGACAGCATTATAGCAAATACAGTATCACAAATTTACTTATATTTAGCCTAAATTATGCATTTGTTTAATTGACAAATGCCGAGAAATTGAAATTGTCATCCCATTCCGGAGGGTAGAACAGAGCGCAAATTCTAAGGCAGCATCCGCAGGAATGTTTCGTTTTAAAGTCCTCCTTGTTTTCCTGTTTTCTTCCAGGGAGTCGTTGTTGCTATAGTTATATACAACACCTCATTTCTCTACAGATAGGATTTTCTTACAAAGAGTATTACAGATAGTATTTTACAAACAGTATTTTCTCAGATACTGAGACGACCTAAACTTATAAATACTGTTTTTATTCGTATGTGACTTTCTGTGCTGACAGACTTACTCATGTGCTGTGTAAATCCAGGCGCTGTTTAGGGCAATGATTTTATATCTGGATCTCAGTTTACACTTAAATAAGCCAGCCTAACCTGTTCTAAAGAAAAACAGTGTACAATGGGTTGTTTCTTTGTTTTCCGTATCTCCTGATGTGTTCATTTATTCTTCTGGAAGTGTGAACTCTGACCTCGATTTTTCTATGGAAAAATTAATTAAATAGGCTGGTTTAAAGAGCATGGTTTTTAAGCCTGTGGTAGAATTGTTCATTTGGTTCACTTTTGTGTATTAATGTTTTAATGAGAGACAATTACTGATTGTTTTTATTTTTAGAAATTCTCATTTCTTATATTTAGCCAAAGAAAATTTTTTCATTTTTAAATAAAGCCTATCTAGATTGACTCTTTTGGAGGTTATAAGAACTTTGAATGTCATCTTTCTTATTTCATGTGCTGAAAGGTGGTGTGATAGAAATGCAGAGACTTTTAACCACTATTAATTGGCTAAAAATGTAGTTTCTAAAGTATGAGTTATACAAGAAGAAAATCAGTAATTTCATTTATGTGTCTGATTCTCTGTCACCAGAATGGCAGCTTTTAAAAGAAAATACAGAACCAATTCCACTTTAATTTAAAGCCAGAAATTATAAATGTGAAGATATTTTGACCCAGTAGATATTAAATAGGTGATATGTATGAGCATAGTTTAATATTTATTTTATTGTTAAATAAACTTGTTTTTAAGCAAACTTTAATATTAGACTTAAGAACTTATAACTGTAAGATGAGAAAATAAACATTAACTTTAAAATGTCATTTTGAAAATTATGAAAGTAAATATTGACCTTTTCTAAGAAAATCTTTTCATTTTGACATTGTTTAATTTTTTTTCCTTTTTGTTTTTTAGGTTTGCAATTTTTTTTGGTGATGGCATGTTCAGAATCTTGGATCCCTAAGTTGAATATATTGGAAATATTTAGGAACCTTGGAAATTGTTTTTGTATGCATAATGACTTACTAGGTGAATCAGTAGACTTAATCAAAAGTATATAAAAGAGTAGGTATAATAATTTGTGTTTCTAAGTTGGCATGCATGTTTCGAATTCTCTCCTACCAGTATTAGTGTCATAGTCTAGACAGAGTTATCTTCTGAAGATTTGGGGTTTTTGTGGTCCTCCTATGTAATCCTCCCATGCCGGTTTGGTCAGCTTGTTTTCCTTTCTATCTGCCTTGCAGTGTTGCTTACTTAGATTAGAGGTAATTATTCATCAGGAAGAGAGAAGAGAAAAAAAGTCGTAAAGTGACAATCCTAAAGGTAGTAATTACAAAATTTCAACCTGGAAATGACCTGAGCATGGTCTATGTTAGAAAATGCAAATTCGACCAAGTTATATACACATACACTTGTGGCAAAATGCTGCCAATTTTCCAATTAGATGTTGTTATGTAGGACAGGGTGCTAATGAGGAGGAAAAAGAGCTGTTTAGTTTCACATCCTCCCCCCTCCCTATTGTTGGGTGAATGAATTAGTGGAAAGTAAAATCGACAAGAGGTAGATGGTATGAATGAAAAGAAGGAACAAAACTTTAATCTCCAGGAAAGATTATTTCCCCTTAAAAAATTGAAAGTTGGCTATATTCCATGTACCTGAACACGCTATTCTGAAACCATAGGCCACTTTCATGTAGACCTAGAATGTGAGCTAGGGGATTCTCGCCCATAGGAGTGGGTGGAGAACCTGTATTTCATAGGAGAGTCACACAGTCCCTGGGCCACTGGGGCGCCATTATCAGTGGTTGTCATTTTCTCTGGCCTGTTCCTGCTGGGATTAGGAAACTGGAACGTTCTGGGGCAGATTGTTATTTTGATGGTCAAATATGACTGCCTCCCTACTCTTTTGACCAAAATTGGGGAAAGACTGATTTTTAAGACCATATTCAGAGCAACTTGAAAAAGAATCAAAGGGAAAGGATGAGGAGAATTCAGGAAACTAGAGAGACTGAATGTAGCTTGGTAGAATGTTAATGTATTCGTTTATTCTAAGGTTTATTATTGGTAGATTATCCAGTAATACCGAAATTGGTGTATAATAGAAATTTTCATAACATTTCTATTAGAAGGCTTTTAAAAGCTAAATAGGCTATATTGTAACTGCCCCCCCCCCCAATCTTCTTACTTTGCTTTGTTTGAAGAGGAATAGGCTGATATATATTTAATAGGTGGCACATTTAAAACATTAGATAGGTTTTTAAAAATCAAGTTATATCAATGTAAATCTGTTGCCTATTTAGCTGCTTTTCTATTACACCTGGCTTTTTAAAAGCTGTTTTTGTGATACTTTTGTCAATAGAGGTGTTTCCTCTTAGCCAGTTCTAGCCACGATGTTGACTGGACCTCAGCATGTGATATACCCAGAAGGATTTAGACAGGCAGGAAAAAACTTGGTTCCTACTAGAATGAATATTTTAAAGACCTTCTTAGATTCTTAACACTTTGAGTACAAATGAAAGAGACCCAAGAGAGGGAAAGATTTAAGAGCCTAAGAATAAAAAGCGGTGGGGAGGGTCGGGGGTGATCTCTTATATAGCTAACCTGAGGGCACTGAGGGTTGTGAGGAGGCGTGTGGAAGTGACAGTGGGCATTCTCATGTTAATTTAGGCATTCACTCTAGCCTGCTCTAGTAGTTTAAGGATAGTGGCAGGTGATCTTGGGAAATATTAATGCATTTCCTAACAATGAATTTGATTTTATTTTGGTATGCTGTAAATGGATATGTGGCTCAAAGATGAACTTAATTCAAAATACTTATCTTAGATACTAGGAAAAATATTATAAAAATGGGTTTTTTGTCCCTGTTACATAGCTTTAGAAAATAACATACAAGACTGAGCATAGCAGGGAATTGATGGCATGAATGTAATCAGTATTTTATGGTTGCTTTCTAAAAACTTTTAAATAAAACCTTGAATTTGTTTGCCATTGGGCTCAGTGGTACCATAGCAGCATTTTAGTGTTTATCTCATGGAAAATCTGTACCTTCTTGGGTCACTGCACTTCATAGTCTGGCACATCACTGTGAGAATGCAGAAATCTGACTCAGTTTACTCAGGGATGAACAGATCTTTCTAAGTTTGGGTACAATAAGTGCATAGGGACACACAGAGAACGCCTAGGATAATGGCTCTTTGCATCTTGGAAGTTTTAACCCCATTTTGAAAATCTGAAGAAAGCTATAGCTCCTTTCCCCGACAAGACTGTGGTTTCTTAGGGAGGGGGACTGCCCTTGATCATCAGCACAGGAAGCCCTGATCGAAAAGATCATCTTCATTTTACTTCTGACCTTGCTCTGACTTTGTTGTCGCTCTCTGTCAGGTTCTCTCTCGCCTCTGAAAGGAGCGTCAAATCTCGAAGGACGCTTACTGCTTTACACATTGAACTGAAGCTCCTGTCCCGAGCTTTGTCATGTAATGGAGCAGAAATCCTCTGCACAGGGCCCTCAGCGTCCAGGTGCTGAGAACAGAGCCCGAGACGTTGAGGGGTGGCACTGCCCTCCTCGTAAGACCTGCGCCTGCTGGTTTAGGGGTGTTTGTTTCATAGTCAAGTTGAATGTTAATGTTTTCTTTTTAAAAATGAGCATATTTCTTCTACATTTTTTATTATTATAAATTTTTTTTTTACCTAACTGTGACTTTTTCTCATGTCTTAAGATATCAAATTCATGGTGTAAAATGTGTACTTTAGATTAACATAGTGACTGGAAATTTAGGATTCTGTTATTTTTTGACTCTGAAATTTGTAGCACGTTTTCAAGAAGATTGTTCAGATTCCCAGATAATTGGTTCTTTATTCCTTTCAAGTTTCCTAAATGTATAATTACTTCAGAATTTTATTAATCCATTTATAAGTTTAGAGAAAGCTGTCTTCAGTTTATATTTTGACACAGAATGGATGTGTTTGATTTATCTTATTCGGAATATGTTTTGACAAAAGTTTGCTTTCAAGTAGCTCTCATCTTCGTTTTGGAATCTCAGATCACCTGCTTGTAATCACTCATTGGGACTTTTCTGCAAAATACAGCTTCACTGAGAAGGTCGTCCTTGGAAAATCAAGAATTGGGACTGAGTGGAGAGATGGAAGAGCGTCATCAGATTGAGCCCAGCACGTTCTGGAAACGTTAGACTGCATTGCCTTTGTACATGGACCATAATGTGACTGTCTTTTGTGAATTGGACCTATAGACAGATAAAATAACCTCGTAAAATGTACCTTTACTGTAAGAAGAACACCACTCCAGTCTCTAGACCATTCTGTCAGTACAGTGTGCTCCTGATTACTCCCCTGCTGAAGGGGAGCCTGGGTCACTGAACTTGACTGAGAAGTAGACGTCGTGTGTTCTGGATTTGAAGGTGATTTTGTATTTCCTTTTGGAATGTGGTGTCTCGATCTTTCCAACATGAGCCTCACAATTTCATGCCCTGAGAGAGGAGCCCAAGTACCTCTGCGCTGACACTCGTTCTCTGTCCTTCTTTTTTCCTGTACTGTTGACTTCAATGTGGGGAAAACATCAAGCATATAGGATTCCAGAATTGGTCAGAATCCTATGAAATCTATCCCGCTTACCCTTCCAGGTAATTTTATTGCATGTCCTTCCCGGCTCATGTAAATGATGCCAAGTTTGGGGCCCTTTCTTAGGTCAGGATAGAGTTACAGCCGCACTGTTCAGGCCTCTTCCTCCCATTGTCACGTTTGGTCTTGCCTGCAGTGGGAGGTTTTCAGTCACCTTACTGTGAAAGAGTCCACTCGTGTCCTTTCGTTTCCATCTGCCTTCCTGCATGTTCTGGTGGGGAAATAGAATAGATCTACACTTCGGGCTCTTAGCTGTCTAAGGGTTGCCTGTAAAAATTCACAGCATTGTATTTACAACACAGCTTTTTAGCTGTGGTGTTGACAGTAGTCCCCAGTGGACATCTGCTCTGTGCTGGGCGCCTTACCAGGTGTGGTTGTCCACTCTTCCTCTCCCCTGCTCCATTCTCTGGAGGCCAGGAGTGAACTTCATCATGCCTCAGGCATCAGAAGAACCAGAAGTCACTTCCTGTAAGCTTGCTGGTTCCTGGGGTCCTGAGTTAACGAGGTAGTAAGAGATCCATGTGTTCCCGCCTGGATGCTGGTAAAAACAGATCATGTGCAGAGAGGCCCGTGGGGGCTGGGGCGAAACAGGTGAAGGGGATGAAGAGTTACAAACTGACAATTATAAAATAAATATGCCATGGAGATGTAATATGCAGCATAGGGAGTATAGTCAATAATATAGCCACTTTATAGGGGGACAGATGGTAACTAGACTTATTGTGGTGATCATTTCATCATATAAATATCGAATCACTATGTTGTACACCTGAAACTAACGTAATGTTGTATATCAATAATACTTCAATAAAAAAAAATCGTGCAGAAAAAGTGATCATGTCAATATGATTTTTAATGTAAGATTTGTCAAAAAAAAAAAAAAGGCCAAATTTTAGGTTAACCTACGTGAACCCACATTGAATTTCCAGGTATCTCTTACCTAAAAAAAAAAAATCGACCTCGTCCTTAAAAAACATTACCTAATTTGGTAATGTCAGGGTCATTTCCCTGACATTTTCAAAATGTGATATTACTCTAAAAATTTTTTACACTTAGTTTTCAGAAACACGTGCAAATATGTTTTGTGTAAAAGAGTATCTACTGTATATAATAATTTTCTGACTCTTGCTCTAATAAATATTAAACTTAAGTGGTCTCATTATTTAAAACCTAATAGTTAAATTTTTTGAGTAAAATTTTACAGCATATCCTATCGTTACTTTTCATGTAATGTACAGATGCTCGTAGAGCTGCCTGTGTGGGTTTGTTTTCCACATATAAAAATATTGTAAACAGAGTCCACGTCTTCAGTAAGAGTTTCTGGACCTTTGGCTGTAATTACCAAGTGTTTGGGATTGAGCTGGCTGGAAATGCAAATTGAGCTTTTCTGTGCGTGTAGCAAACTTTGTGCAAATAAAGTAGCTTTGTACTCTGAAGGAGCTTTTAGTAATTACATTTTTGGTAAATAAAATACAGGTGAGTTAGAAGAAAGGAAATGAACAAGAAGATCTGTGAATGTGATGGTCTAAATTAGTGGTTTGCAATCTGTTTCTGTCCCGTTTAAGAGTGTTAGTAAGTTAGAAATTGAGTTTGGGGGGATCTGTAGTTGGAAGAGAAGAGAAAGACGCTCGTCTGGGATCAGCAGTGGTGTGGGTCAGTGTGTGTAAGCTGTGCCCCATGGACCTGAACTCAGGGTCAAAGAAGCTTGATGGTAGACGTCTATCCCCACAGTTCCTGAATGGCCAGCAGAGGATGGGTGCCCATCTGAGGCAAAATGGGAAACAGAAAAACAAGGACAGTGTAGGGACTTTAGAAAGTTTTCTCAGTTTAAAAAAATGTCCTTTAGACTTTTATGTCCTTTGCTCTACTGTGTGCCCTTTTTTGATTAAAAAAAAAAAAAGCTTGCCATCCTAAGTTCTCTAAAGATATTTTTAAAATTTTTTATTGGTCTGTGAAATCAAAAGGCTGGGAGCTGCTGGTTCTTGGAACAGTGCAATATTAGCATATTAAGGTCCCAGTTGTTTATCCCACAACCCATAACTCACAGGACACTGAATAGGGTGCCAGAGAACAGTTTGGGAAAGTTGAGGTAATTCCTTCAGCATTGCTATGTGGTGGGAGTCATTGTCTTAAAAGCCTTAGCCTGGTAGCGGTTAAAAGGACGGCTAGTATCATCTTGTTTCAACCAATGGTTGTCTGGAAACCTCTCGAGCAGATTTCCAGCAGTTCTGTGTGAAAATGAACTGAAACTTCAGATAATTCAAAGATCCACTACAACACCAACTTTGAGGAAATCATCTACACTACCTTACAGATAAGTTTTCAACTTGCAAAATAGTCACCAACCTGCAAAAAATTCTACACTAATAAATGACCAGAAGTGATGCAATTGTTAGAACTTGTTTCATTTCCATTTCTGCTTATCTTTAATGTCAAGTTTAAGATTGACTTTATATGGCATAGTCTTGTGCGACTAGACTGTAGTCATGTGCCTCATAATGACGTTTTGGTCAATGACAGACCGAATATATGATGGTGGTCCCATAACATTAGTACCAGAGAACCTGGGCATATAGTAGGCTATACCATCTAGGCTTGTGTAAATACACTCAAGGATGTCCGCAGAATGACGAGATCACCCAACGATGCATTTCTCAGAACATGTCCCTGTCGTTAAGCGACGTGCGACTGTACTTTTGTTAATTAGCTTTAAAGAACTAGACAAAAGGATCCTGGAAGAGGAGAAACTAAGGATCAATTCAGTGATTGCCTTCATATTCCCGATGAAAGGGCATTTTTTTACAAAAATTTAAGCTATACAATACCAATTTTTATATCTCATCCACTTATTTGCTAGCCACTGTGCTAAGTGATATATATAAAATGTGTCAAGGGATTAATTTCCAAGAAAGAGACTGAGGTTTCTTGCTTTGGCGTCTGGAACATGAAGGTTGGTATCCTTGCTAAATGGATACTTGTGGGCGAGTTTAGAGGAAGTTGATGATCTCCAGTCATGGTTTACAATACTCCAAGCACCTCCCTTTACCTCCGGGGATGTTGCAAAATTCCTACTGAATTGCTCATTAGGGAAAGCTTGCCATAGTCTACATTAAGTGTTTTCCTTAGAGACTTTTTCTGAGGAGACTCAACTTTGAATTATTAAACCCAGGGCCGTGATTAGTGAGGCAGACACCTGCTCTCTGTATTCACTGGGACTTGAAAGCAAGAATGAAATTACTAAATAAAATGAAATTGGCTTGAGGGATATTTTGGACTTCATTTGCTGCATGTTGTGTATTCTTTCCCACGGGTACAAAACTATCAGCAAGGGCTTTAAATTTCTCAATACTGGAAGGAAATACTTTGCCATTATAATTTTGGATTAAATACATTTAGCAGCCTCAATTTTGTAGCAGAGAAAAGATTATAAATCGATACACAGTGATTGAAATCATTTCACCTAAAATATGATAACCAGAAATTGTGGTAGATTTGCAATTTCTTGTTTTGAAGAGAAAGCACCAAGTTTCTGACTATGGATCTTTGCCGACACATTTATAAGCAGGGAATTTGGTTTTTTTCTCTCCAGTATCTCAGTCTTGCTCCAAACCAAGTTACATTTTTAGTCACTAATACCTCAGACGTTTTCCCTTAGGAATGAGGATTTTCTTTAGCTCTTGAGTGGCTCTCAGTGGCCCCCTCCAGGCCCCATTTTGACCTTAGAAAACCACATCGCAGAATGAGCTACAATGCAATGTTAAAAACCTCATTTGTGGAATCATCTAGAAAATATTAAAATATTCACATGATTGTAGGACCGTTTTCCCACTTTCAGAAATGAATTCTTCTAAGTGTGAGGCCAAGTGAAGGCGAATGTGTGGTTCGCGGTTAGCTCAGTCCACGTTTCCACCAGTTCTTGTTCGGCCGGATTCAGCCCGACTTCTCTGTGCTGTAGCTGCCTGGTGGCGCGGCTCGATTTCTGAGCAGCTGAGTTTCTTGATGATTTTAGGAAGTCTAGGCCAGATGGGGGAGCGTTGTTTTTCACATCTACCAGCATAAGAAATTCCTGTTTGCATTTTTTTAATAACAATTTTCCAGGAAATCCTTGGAGCAAATTGTAGTTTCCCCCTTCCTCTGGATCTTATTTTTTAGATTTATCTGTTTAAATTGAGATTAAGAAGTGGGGCTAATCCAGTAGCTGCCATTTCCTCTAAAAAATTGCCACCAGCAGCTGACCTAGAATTCCATCTTGTACTCAGTATTGTTTATAATACGTAAGTCCTAAATTTTGACCCAAAAAATGACACATTTGTTCCGAGTGGAGTAAAGGACCCTGTAAAAGCCTTTTCTGTCACCTTTCCAGCCTGGTCTCCTGGCCCTGAGAGCTTTCTGGCCCCCGTTGGAGGTGAAGTTGATGACCACCTTACAGGCTGGAAATTCAGAGCAAGAATCAGAAAGAGGTGATAGAAGCGAAGCGGCACAGGGATGGGGCAAGAAGTCCTTGACGTGCAGCAAGGCCTGGCCCAGGTGCAGGTGTTGGTGGTGTATCCGTACGTTTTTATGACAGCGGGTCAGGGCTGAGCGCTGCGCAGTGGCTCTTGTCTCTTCCAGTTCTCTCTGCACGCTCGTCTTCCTCTTGTTGCTGGACACCTGCATTTGCACGGATGAAAGGTTTTTGCACACGATTACACTGGTGCCTAGGTAGGCATCAAATTATGAGTGGGCAGTTTCTCGTCTCCTTAGCCCTTGCTGAATGAATGAAGACGACGTTTCTCAACAGTTGGAAGTTGTCACTCGCCGTTCTTGCTTCCTAGTTCTCCCCACCTTTCTCAGTAGGACAGTCCATGGCAAAGTGATTTTCTCAAAAAGCTGCTGGGTAGGGGAACTTGAGAAGCAGGGTACAATCAGGCATGGTGTTTAAATTATTCCTTCCTGCACCATATCGAAGGAGGCTTACTCTGTTCCGGGTGCTGTTCTGACCTCTTGGGAAACCGAACACACAAAGCATGGAGTCTACGTCCCAGCAGAGGGAAACACACAATAAGTAAATTGCCATCCTGGAGAAGATGGTGAAGAGCAGAGCGAGTGTGCTCAGGACGTGGGGATGGGAGGGAGGAGCGGGTCTCAGTTTTTAAATAGGGACATCAGAGGAGTCCTCGTTGGGAAAGTGAGATTTGTCCGTGTAAGTTGGAGCTGACCAACAGGTTTATCTTAAGGAAGAGAAAATATAAAATACTGAAAAATTTCCAACAATGTTTACTGCTTTTCCAGCCCTTTCTTAACCTATACGAGAAGCTCTCACTGCATCTAAACGCAGCTGTGCACATTCCTCCTGCCTACATTTTTCTTTTCCAGGGCCCAGCCCAGATGGCATCTCCATGACATTGTTTGTGGTGGAAGGCATGGCCATAAGACAGCATGGCAGAATATGACACTCGAAGAGTGCAGAGCTCCCACCAGGATGAGTGGCCTTTTAGATGGGGCCCTCAAGGATGGGCCACGTTTCATAAGGGGGGTTAGGGTGCCAGGCCAGGCTGAGGGAGCACCATGAGCTGAAGCAGGCCAGCGGGAGCTGGTTGGAACTTCTGGGTGATTAAAACAAGACAGATTATGGAACACCCCAAATGTCACGCTAGCGAGTAAGGGTTCGATTCCACAGGCGGGAGAGGCCACTGCTGTCCTCTGGAGCTTCTCCCCATGGGAGTTTCCACTGAGTAAGGCAAAGATTTCTCGGCTCTCGTGGGTTCTCAGTTTGTAATCTCTGGCAAGTGAGGAACAGAAAAGAAGGTGGTGAGGGATAATTTCCTCTTGCATCTCTCTACCTGTTTTTCCAAAATGCAGTTAACGTTTTTTCTCAGAAAAAGGATATGATTCATAAAAATTTCAAATGGCACAGAAAAATAGCAAAATTCACTGTCTCACTCCTGTTAATAGGCTGATCATCGCCAGTTTAGACTTCCTTGTGCTCAGCAGCAAGCAGCACACATTATCAGTGCTGACAGCATCCTTTGTAATGGCTGCTCTGTGCGGATGTAACCGGCTCCCTATTGCTGGATGTTCAGTGGTTTACAATTCTCATTATTCAGGTTCTTTATGGTTTTTCATTCTTATAAACTCAGTTTCAGTGACTATCCTTCTGTATAATATGTGCACTTACCAATTATCTCCTTGCTATAAATTATGGACATTTCAAAAAATCAGGATGCCTGTAACTGAAATACACAATACCGGGATTTAGTACTGCAAGACCTTACCTTTGAGCAGTGTGTGTGTGTGTGTGTGTGTGTGTGTGCTTTTTAAAGCACTTTAGCAACAGCTTCTCTATTCACATCTGCACAGTGACGCTCATTGCAAGGTGGGTTAGGGGAGAGGGCACCTCTCCTGTGGGCAGGTGAGGGAGCTGGGGCTTCTCCGCTTCCTGGGTGCTGCCACTGCA